CACGTCCAGATCATCTGTAAGGGAGCTGTTTGTTCCAGATGAAAAGCTTGTTGAGCTCTTTATAAAAAATAAAACACTTGTATTCGGTAAATTGGTCATAATGGAAGTTAAAAAAAACCTCCATTAGAAAATCGAATCATTAAATGCAGTGAACTGTCAGTAAATATGAAGGTAAATACGTCATATTTGGAGATTTGTATGACGCATGTATCTCTATAGGGCTGCAAGGTGGCTCGGTGGTTAGCATCGTCGCCTCGCCTCACAGCTAGAAGGTCGCCGGTTCTCCTCCCGGTGAGGACACCCGGGATCTTTCTGCGTGGAGTCTCCATGTTCTCCCCGTGCAGCGTGGGTTCTCTCCGGGTTCTCCGGCTTCCTCCCACAGTCCAGAAACATGTTGAGGTTAATTGGTGATTGTAAATTGTCTGTAGGTGTGAATGTGAGTGTGCTTGGTTGTCTGTCTCTAAGTGTAGCCCTGTGATAGACTGGTTACCTGTCAGGTGAACCTGCCTTCGCCCTGAGTCAGCTGGGATAGACTCCAGACCCCCACGACCCTGGTGGGGATTAAGGTGTAGAGATGATGGATGGATGTTTTTGGACTGTGGGAGGAAGCCGGAGAACCCGGAGAGAACCCACGCTGCACGGGGAGAACATGGAGACTCCACGCAGGAAGATCCCAGGTGTCCTCACCAGGACGCCAACCAGCGACCTTCTTGCTGCGAGGCAACAGTGCTAACCACCGAGAGACCTTGCAGCCCTATAGAGATACATGCATCATACAAATGTCCAGATATGACGTATTTACCTCAACATTCACTTAGAGTACACTGCATTTAATTATTAGACTTAGTAATGGAGGCTTTTTTTTACTTCCATTGTGGCCAGTTTACCAGATGTCCCGGGTGTCCTCACCGGGACACGAACCAGTGACCTTGCTGTGAGGCGACAGTGCTAACCACCGAGCCACTTTGCAGCCCCCCACGACCCTAGTGAGGATTAATCGGTGGATGGATGGATGTGTCTCTATAACAACTTGCAAACATAAACTGCTTGCATGGTCTTTCTGTACGATTAAATAAATCTCATTATGTACACATGCGTGATCAATCATCTGAATTCACCGTGGCTGCGCTGGTATCTGTGTTTAGCGTGTTTGTCATTCGTGTCATTTGTGTTTTACAAACGTACGTATGTGTGAAATACAAATTCACAAATGCATAACCGAGGAAGGTTGGTCATGCATTCTAACTGCTGCTGACCGCAGGGTTTGATTCAGAGCTGCAGAAAATGGCACTAATCCAGACTTGGACGAACAGCGAAGGAGCCTTCAGAAATATGGCATGTTTTACTAAAACACCTAAAGCCAGTTGGAGGAGGATGTTTTTCCACATTTTCACAAACCAGTAAAATCTTCTAGTCGATGCTAAAATTCCTCCAGACTGCCGGCATCACATTCAGATGACATGATTCTCCTCCAGCAGGATGTGAACACCGTCTAAAGTCCTAACTCACGAGTTTAAATTGTCATCTTGTGCTTTTGCTCTTGGTTTTACTGTTATTGCACCATCAGTCTGGAACCTCCTTTTTTCAGATTCTTTTATCACCCTTTCACAATTTTCTTTTTTTTTTATCACCTTTTTTTTCTTCTTTAATCACATATTTAAGTGCAGACTGTGAGCTCAGAGTTGTTCCACACATTCTGATTGTCAAAGTCTTTCCTGCTAACTCGTTAATAACAACCTGTTTAAAGAGGAATTACTGGGGATTTAGAGCTGCTTAACTGAACCGCTGGATCACAGTGACCTCTTGTGGATGAAATGAGCAGCTCTCAGAAAAAAAAAGATGATTATTTTCAGTCTTTTTTCATTATCATTAACACGTTTTCTTTCATTTGTACGTGAGTTTGTCGCATCACTTCAACACCAGTGCAGTGAAACAAACAACAAAACATCCAACACAGAAACCTTCTGACTTTGTACAACAACCTTTTATTGAGGCTTATATTGCACATACAACCCAACACTGCTGCTGCCAGTGTTAACAAGGTGCCTCCTCTGGAGCTGTGTCCTGTATAAAACTAGACCTGGGGGAGCTCTGCTGTTGAGGGAGCTCCCAGGTGTAAAAGTGTAACTGTGACCAGCAGAGCATAACCAGAGCAAAGCAAGTGACGAACTTCCCCTGGACAAATAAAAGGGTGTGATAGAAGCAGAAACAGTCCGTCTGGCTGCTGGCCTTCCCGTCTCCTCCTGTACGGATTTAAATTCCTGCTCTGGTCATTAAATGAATGATGACCAACAGAAGAACAAAAGAAGTCCAGTTGCTTTTCTACTGAAGCACAATCAATAAATATCTTGTGATCAGCTGAATGTATTGCAGTATGCAGTGGCTGGATTTTAAAAAATGTGGTTATAAAACTTTGCAAAAGGCATCGAATGGAGCAAAACTGGCAGGAGAAACATTCAGGGCAAGAGGAGCGAATCAGATAATCAGAGCAATAACAGAGAATAGAGCTTTATTGTCATTGTCAACAACAATGAAAGGCGAGGATTGGATTAGCAGCACGACACTGAGCATAATCGTGACGAATACGATGAGAATAAAGGAAAAGAAACTGACCATTCTGCTGCCGGCCCCGTCCTGTGGGCTCTTTATGGACTCGGTGTGCAGACAGTGAACAGATACTGACTCCTAACTTGACACCGCCACCACCTGTGCCGGGGAGTCAGATGGACATTGAAAAAGAATATGTGATAGATTGATGTGAGGTGCCCACATAAAACCGAGGCTGGCATATTGCTGCAAACCAGGAATAAAACTAAATAAACCGACTCGGATGGACACACTTCTGTAGGATTTATTGTTCTGTTGGGCTCCAAACGGCCCATGAGCGGTAAATTCTTATCCAATCGGTGTGATTTAGATGTGTGTTCTGTGTGTTTGTTTGGTTTCACAGGCAAAGGCGGGATGATGTCAACCATCTAAATATACCCTATTTCGTTACGTGAGATGAGGTGACCTCATTACATGAAAAAAGTAACGCCACTTATATAGTTCAGGGGCGGCATTATATGGCCTCGGTGTCCTTCTTTACCTTTAAGCTGTTATTTATACTGGATCATGTTTTAATTCCAAATCATTCATGTTGCTGTTAGTGGTCACAGAACTGTGACAAAACACTAAATCCACACAGAGGACATCGAATGTAACCCCCTGAAATCCATGAGAACCCTAAAAGGCTATTTACAGCCAATACGCTTATATATAGTTCAAAGAGATGAGTCATACATGCGTTACTTTCTTTTTGACATGGGGGTGACCCAAGTTTATGATTTACGTGCAATTCTTCCCATCAATCCCTGTCGAGTCCTCTTGCACACCAGCCACATACCATAGCTGGGATGGCTCACATTGTGACCGCATGAGGTAATGAGAGCAACTTGGTTGAGTACACTACACGTGTACAAAAAATTTAGCCTAGTTGAAACCATAGGTGGTGCTGAGTGCTGTTTACGTGCGAGTCGGAGGGAGCTGATAAAGACACAGGTCATCTATACGGCCCGACGCGTACCTCCCTTCTCCCAGAGGAGGGGCAGCCTGGGCCAGGTACCCCGGGCTGCTGCTGTGGGGCTTTCTTACATGGACTTCTGTTGGTAGATCAGTGATGTTTCTAAGCCAGAGGGCAATTATACACACTTTAATAGCACCTCTGAGACTGAATTGGGTTGTTATGAAAACCACACATCCCTAATTTATGGAACCGCTTTATACAGAAAAAACATACGTGTGACCTTTGAATGTGGTTCTGCTGCCACATTATGCAAAACTATACCCAATGCCACAGAGAAATGTACATTATATGACTATGAAATGTACACAGTTGCTAAAGAACACTGTAAATACAAAGCATCGCGCTGTAAACTTAAAGGCCAGGAAGATATAGGTCCGTGTGTGGGACCTGTTCCTTCAGTCATAGCATAGCCATTCCTTTGCCACATTTAGAAAACATCGTTCATGGTTACCTAATGCACCTTGTGACACCGCAGCAAGGTTATCCACAATGCATACATCACACAGCTGCGATGCTCCACATTCAAAATGAAGCCAACGGTACGCTCTTAAAACGTCCAGCCCTCCCGCTTTAATTGATCTCATGAGTGAAGCCGCGGACGGGGAGCCGCTGTGGAAATTCATCTCGAGCCTTATGTAACAAATTTAGAGGAAGAAATACATAAAAATTCAAATTTGCCTTCATTCTCTGCAGCCAAAAGCACCACAGGTGGTTAAATATGCAGAGATTTCACTGATGTGTTGCTTTAATTAAACTGCGAATAGTCGGTTCTTCACGAGGACCGTCCTGTAGCAGCTCCACGACTGACACAACAGAACAGAATCGACAGGTCAGTTATAGCAAATGTGGAAAGTGTAGGAGAAGTTTTAGATCCGTTCATTCACCTGCCTCTATGACTACGACACACACAGTAGTAGTGATTGCTCTTCTCTGGTTGAGCATAACCGTTAACCAGCACTGGTCCAATTGCACCTCTCTGTGACCTTTAGATGCTTGCATGAGATGAACCATAAAATAAATTGCATTGCTAATAAATTAACCTTGACAGTCATTGCCATTTCAAAGAGTATATGTTTTCACTGCGGTCCCGCTGCATGAGCCATATCCAATTAGAGGTATCCTGACCAATAAAGAGACTTGTTTCATAATGTGCAGCATGCAACACGCGCATATATGCCACAACAAAAGTCTCATTATTGAGCATTGGGGGGGAAAATGGAACAAGTTCAGAAACCGTGTGACAAACGGGGCCCTTTGCAGAGGTGTTGAAAGATGAGTTAGTAGTGAATTGTGGTGGAGGTGGTGTCATGCAGATGCCTGTGGCCATTGATGCATTGGAAAAGTGACATCAACATCAACAGTGAAAATGGCTCATTGATGACCAGGGGAGGGCTACGCCGTATATAAAGGAGAGAGCCGTCTTCACACGAAAGACTGATCAACAAGTTTGACTTCTTTTTCAGACTGATACAGTCCCATTGCAACCAAGCCTGCCAGAGCTTTTCTTTTTTCCTGGATATAAGGACAGAAAACCTGGTAAGTGCGGCATGACAGTGGATCATTATTTGATTATATCACTGTATAATTAAATATGATTACAGAAAAACAAGTGTTTATACGGGAGGCAACTTTAATAGTTTAATTTATCTGTTTCAGTTTCCCGACATGTTTTCGTTGAGATACTTGGAAACGTTGGTGCTGATTATCTTCCTCGCCAGCTTCCACATCGAGGCTAAACCACTGAGGTAAAAATCTATTTTTATTTTGGGTCTTCGTGTTGTGAAATGTCATCTTTGGGATAAAAATGAATAATTAATAATGAATAATTACAATAAATAATTCATCGACGGAGGAGTGAACCGTGATATTTTCCCGTCTCCACAGAAAGAGAACCATCAGCGAGGTGCAGCTCATGCACAACGTCCGGGAACACAAACAAGTGGGAGAAAGACAAGACTGGCTTCAGGAAAAGTTGAAGGAAATCATCGTCACCAGCTCCAAACCACAACATGGACAACTGGGAAATATTAGAAATCTTTTTTCAAACGATGCTTTTGGATCAAACTCATACAAGAGTTGAACACAACCTACTCACGGTCCCAAACACAAGACAGCCTCACACAAACTATTTTGTAAGCCATCATTATTTTGTATGCTTGTCTTTTTGTATTGTTTTTTTAATTGCTTATTTCATGTATTTATTTATTTATGCTTTTATTTATTGTTTATTTTTATTGTAATGCTATTTTCTTGCTGGTATAATAGATATTTGAATTTCTTTTTTTTTTTAATTTAATCAATTTTGTTTACATTCTTTTGCAACGTCCACAAATAGAATAATTATTAAAGCGAGTATCTCAGGCTAAATAGGGGGAGAAAAAAGGTTTATACAACCTTAAACCCTCACTCAGTATACTCAGTATATTGAGTGGGGGTTTATATACCTCAGTATTTAAAAGAAATGTTGTTTACTGATGATTGTTTTGTGCAAATAAGGACCAAAGCACCGAGAGAGCAGCTAGTCTTATACGTTCTGTGTGTGTTTTTTCACTCTGACGATAGACAGGAGTCATTTGTTTGGCTTTGACTGGTGTGATGTTTTCAGCTTGTATTTTTCTCTGAGATCAAGTGACATTGAGATTGTGATTCCTTCTGCTTCTGGTTTTTATTACGACTATAACCTTCTATTGCAAACTTCGCTAAAGTGCCGCTACAAAACATCCCCTAAAAAAAAAGGTGTCTGAACTCAGTCACCTTAACCTTTGCTGATAATCATATAAAATCTGACCTTTTTTTATTCCCTGTGCTGTTTAACCCACTTCCTAGATGGCTTTCATTATCTTGCCTTTCATTGCATAAAAATATGTTCTATATTTTGTAGGATATTCTTTATAACTTCCACTTTGTATGCTTATAATTAGTCTCCTTTAGTTTAGTCATCTGTGAAAATGACTTCCAAAATGCAAAATCAGCTGGTGTTTAATATGGCTGTTTAAGTTAAATTGGTATTGATGGATTAACAAAAAAGAACTGACTGAGTTACAGCTGAAACAGTGTTTTCTATCCCACTTGCTACAGATTACAGATTATATTTTACTTGATGTCTGTCTGTATTCATTTGTAAAAATCACCCACTGATGTAATTAATGATTTTTAAATTGTGACGTATTACCTGCATTATTCCTTCTCTCTGAGGTTTGATTTAACTTCCGATCAGCTGATGGACACTGAGCCCACCAGGTCCACGGTGCTGCCCATGGCAACACATACCGCCTCACATCGAGGGCTTCAGCCCACTGTATCGATTTGCTATCAGATCTGACCAAACAGGCTGTTTTGCATCTGTAGAAATACTGAGCTTCCTCTGCCTCCATGTATCTCTCTTAAACTCTTATGAAGCTCGCTCTCTTCATTTATTCTCACTGTCTCTGATTCAAGGTGGGACTCAGCTATGATTTAATTAGCCTGACTTGTTTTTCGATTCTTGATTTTTAATTATTGTCATTTTAAATGTCTCAGCAGTAGTTTCCAGAGGATGGGACGTGGAATTTGGCATTTAGGACCCCCATAGCATCGCATATAGACCTCTGTCTATATGGTCTATGCGTTCCCTGGAGAGCTTTATCCTGTTCTGTCCATGCTGCTGCTCCGTCGGCCTCCGAGTCTTAAAGGCTTGACCCGGTTTATCCACAAGCTACCCTGCTGTAAACCAGCAACCCATTCACCGGGTCTTTGAATTACAGATATTGCAGCTGCGATAACTCTACTACTGTCATTCCCCATCTGTATTTACCTCCTTGGCTTAGTTTTTGAATTTCCTCCTGAGAAATATCTTATCATGGGAAGTTTCTCCTCATCCTGTCAGAGGTGTCAGGCTGGGATGTTGCAGTACTTAGAAATAAACCACATTTTCTTTGATTGATTAAATAGATTATTAATGTGTCCGTAGTGTGACAGTAGAGTGAAATCAGAATCTAAATTACCCGGTTGGAATGATCAGCACTTCTATTTTCTTCTAGCTTTAATTCATCTTTTTATATTCTTTGTTTTTTCAAAAAAAAAACTATTTCCGTCTTCTGTGATCTTGACCAAAACGATGAGACCTGCTAACCCTAAAAAGGATGAAAGGCAGCTCACTGAGAGGAAATACATCAGTGAAGAGGATGTTCAGAAATAGTGCTATTTTTACTTTGGCTTTACTAAGATGTTGCTTGATTTATTTTTGATAATACTCACTAAAGCATCTCTATGACTATGAATCAAGTCAAGTTATTTATACATCACGTTTAAAGCCATGGAGTGCTTTCAAGTAGAAAAGTAAACCTGGCAATACAAGTTCACCAAACACATTTAAATATTGAGGTGAAGACCCTACAGTGTTATTTATGATGTGAATTCACCTGAGTAATTTAAATATTAGGGATTAAAACCCTGAGAAAAAAAAAAAAGAAACACAACTTTAAATGACTATAATGAATGTCACGGCCTAGACCCATTTATTATGGAGATTAATCAAACTAATTTAAACATCAAGGCAAGGACCCAACAGTATTATCATTTATAAAGGTGACATGATTAATTTAGAGCTAGTGTTACAGCCCTACAGGAATATACATGAGAATAAATAGAGGGACTTCATTTAAATTTAATTTAATTTTTTTTCTTTGCTGTTTTTGTCTTTCTTTGTTTGTTTTATCTTTGTTTTTCCCATAAGGTGCAGATTGTATTATTTTTCTAAATCCAATAAAAAGCTATTTTACATTACAAATCTTTTCATAATTTGATGCAAACTTGTGTTCTAAATGTTCTTATTTACTTAATTGCGTTTACATTTTGAATAAAGCAAGAAAAAAAAACAGATCCCACATGCAACATATCGCGAGATTTGCGAGACTACGGTCACGGCTCTATATTCCCTTTTTAGGAAAAGGTAAAAATCCTTCTAGCAGTTGTTGAAAACCAGTCGGTCGACTGGACATATTTTTAATTTTTCGAAAACCGGTCACTTTTCAGAGAAAGCTAACGTAAATTTCAAGTTTAGCAGCAGCTATATTTTTTGTGCTTTGTGTGCGTCAGCACGTCGAGCCTTTAACGGTCGTCACGTTGCACGTCAGCTGGTGAGTGTTTTGAAAGGAGATGGCTGGTTAGCTGGATTATACTACAGCGGAAAACATAGCCAGCTAGGTAGCTATTTTTATGCTTTTTGCCATATCTGCTTAGAATATCAGAAGACGTATGTCAGTGCTGTTGGGGTAGCTTCTCTAGCCACGCCGCCGTCCCGGAAGTTTATGTTGATATTGTTGTAACGTACCGCTAGCAAAGGCAGCTAACATTAGCTAGCTCGGCATGCTAACAGCAGAGTATCTAGCTTAATCGCAGGTTGACTCAGTCTGACAGCATCGTTGACACTATTCTGCTGTGAGATTATAAATGCTCAGGCAGATATTTAATCAGAACTGTGGTCGTTGACCCACGATTACATCCAAGTTGGCAGAACACGTGAAGTCAGAGACACAGTCCGTGGCTAAGGTACAACAGCTAGCTGTGCTTTGCTAGGCGCTGATCAGGAGATCGAACTGACTTGTTGATTTCGCCATTAACTGTTGACCAGATTATGAACGGGGAAAGATCCAGACCGGACTCCCCCCTATACGGGTGATGGCAGCACGTCTGCAGTCATATGACAGTAACTCCAGTGACACCGAAAACTGGGAGCGAAAAGCAACGAGCCGACCTCGCAAACTCTGCAAGCATTCGAGGTGAGCCAGATGAAAATCTGTGAGACCTCCTTGAGAATTTCATGCTAGATATTTGATCCCATTCATTGTCAGAGGACCTGGGCTTTCACATGTGTGTTACCTGAACTGTGATATGATAACAAGAGGGAAGAGTAGAAAGTATGAGGTGTTGCTCAAATACATCAGATGAGTAGGACAGAGTGTCTCTGTTTGTGTACCAGGTAAATGATGCTGTACATGGCTCCTGCCTTGTGTAAGTGTTCCTGTTACCTTTATATAATGTGAAAATGTTGGTCACGTTGATTTTGAAGCAAGCAGTAAATGATCCTGTGCTATAATGAAATTCAGCAGTCAGAGCAGAGCAGTACACGCAGTGAGGTTACTGCTGGTCAGTGGTCAAGATTTTGCCAAATAGCTTGTGCCGAGGTAAATATCCCCTTAATGACAATAGTCACAGCAGGTTATTGGTGATGCTGAATCTCAATCCACATATTACAAGACATTTGTAAGATTTGGAAGAGTGATGCTTATTTCACTGGAAGCTAAAGTAGTTTGTTTGTGTACAGCGTTGATGGAAATGCTATTTTCTCCATCATGGACGAATAAAGCTTAAATGTATAGTGAAGCACAAGTGAATGTGTGGTCCTAAACATTTGGTTATGAGAAGCATTTGTTGACTAGTGTAATAGTCTAGTCTAACTTGTAGTACAATCTCCCTCATTCTATCCGATGAGGTCCTTTTCCTGTTTCCTTTCAGATCTATACAAAGGGGGGGGGGCAGGATGGCAGGAAAAAAGCAGGAAGGAGGCATAAATATGTGTGTTTCTGTTCTTGTTGTGCCTGTAACGCCTGGTGGGTTTGCGTGCCTGAACGTTATTACTGCTTGTCATCACAGATTTTCATCTTTTTATGAACTTGTCAGTAAGCAGGACTGATCTTCTAACGATGAAGACTTGCACAGTGCTCTGTTTGGTCTCTGTATTGTCTTTATGTACTTCCTGTTCCTATAAGTGTGTTCAGACACTTTACTTGGATCACACAAGAAGTCTGTCAAAACTCTGATCCTGAGTCATGTTAAAGCTGAAGGCAAAAGGAATTGGTTGCATTCAGGCTATGTGTGTCATTGTGGTTAGAAGCTTGCAGAAGGTGGTGGGTCTGGTTGGTCTAGTTTCTACATGGGTTAGTAAGGCCTCTCCTCCAAGCTTGTTGGAGCGAATGTGCTCCATATTATAATAATGTTTTACACCCTTGTAGCGTTTAAGAACAGCTGCGTGTAAGCCAGATAATGAAGTTAAACAGCTTGACAACCGTTTTAAAGTAAAAACTGTCCCATGTTCTGTTCTATGTGTTATATGTGTGTCCTAATGGCTTTAAAATGTCCTCTGGCCCCTGAGGAGGAAACATGTTAAATGTGTTTGTCTTCAAAAGCAGCAGTCAGGCCCGAGCGTCTCGAGTGGAGGCAGAACAGAGGAAGATGAGCCTGCATGGTGCCAGTGGGGGCTGTGACCGTTCACGTGACCGCCGCCGCTCCAGCGATCGCTCCAGGGACTCTTCGCATGAGAGAGAAGGCCAGCTCACTCCTTGCATTCGCAACGTCACGTCACCCACCCGCCAACACAACAGTGGTGAGTATGCATGGAAAGAATAGAGGGCTTATATGGAAGTCATGTTAGAGTTCTGCAGCTCTTGGCAGCTACTGTTGAGAGCAGCTGACTACATTTATCAACTTAGAGCTTAGACATGGTTTATATCTCTGCTGTTTCTGGCTGTGAACGGATCAAGGCGATACTTGTCCACCTGTTTGTCTTTAGACCAAGGCCGCTTGTAGTTTGGCTGTCCAGACACAAGACTCATGTTCTGAGTAGGGCTCTTTCCAGTCTGCTTGGATTACATTAGATGACCTACATATTAGATTTACTGAAATGGACGCTCAGAGTAAACCGTGTTTGCTCAAGACTGTTTTCAAAACCTCCAAATTAAGCTGCAGATAATGATGGAAATCAAGAATTAATGTCTCTGCCGGGATGTTTGTTCTGTCGGTTGTGTCCTAATATTAAAAAAGAAACTGTCCTTGTTGAGTCACTGTTCTGGCCCGTCTGTGTGTAGACCGTGAAAGAGATGGTGGCCCGTCTTCGAGGCCCAGCAGTCCACGTCCTCAGAGAGTGTCACCCAGCGGCTCCAGCAGCAGCGGGGTGGTGAGCAGTCGGAACAGCAGCTTGTCCAGCACCGAAGGCACCTTCAAAAGCTTGGGAGTCGGAGAAATGGTATTTGTCTACGAGAATCCGAAGGAGGGAGGCGCAAGTGCCACCGTCGGAAACCGAAACATTAGGACTTCAGAGCGAGTCACTCTGATTGTCGACAACACGCGCTTTGTAGTCGATCCTTCCATCTTCACGGCACAACCCAACACCATGTTGGGCAGGTACAGTACCCACTGATCCTCCTTTATGAAGAGTAGATCAAGTTCATATGGATGTAAATGTAGATATAGATGAGTTGTTAACATTTTGTATTTCCTGTTTCTGTGTGTGAGAGAATAAACCGAAGCTTCTTTATTGCAGAATGTTCGGATCTGGAAGGGAACATAATTTCACGCGGCCCAACGAGAAGGGGGAGTACGAGGTGGCTGAGGGCATTAGCTCAACAGTATTCAGAGCAATTCTGGTCAGTTTCTCTTTAACATTTTCTCTGTTTATGTGAATGATGGTAGATTGAAAAGGTTGAAACACAGTGCATTTCAGCAGCAAGTCTTAAATTCCCTATAAACATGAAAGCAGAGACATTTTATTTTGCCTCATTTAGCCAGTAGCATTCAAAAAACTGGCAACTGATGGGATTTGGCTGCTCGTAGACTGTCTGCAGGAAAACATATTTTACTTTGTGATACGGTGAGTGGGTGGTATACAGTTTAATAAGAAAGCTGCTCTCTGTGGCATCTTTGAGAAGGTTTGATTTGATGAGGTGACATTTTACTGTGAGGTTCTTCTGAAATGTGTCACAAAGTCTGAAAAAGAAACCTTCAGCTGCTATAACAAATAGAAAGCACCTGTCTTGGTGTATGAAACCTTTTGAGAAAACACCTCTTCATTTGACAAGTGCATTAAATACATAAAGCTAAAATATAGAAATCGGAATGATCTGAACTTCACATATGGTGTCATACA